GCACTTTCATGTTTCATCTGATATTATAGATTGGAAATCAGCTACATGCTTACTATTTTTCTTGTCATAGTGATTTCTCTACTTTATTTGCTTACTCTGTTAATAATATATATGATTCCTTAAATGGCCCCATCACCTTTCCTTTGACAAACTGCCCCTTCTCGCACTCTGAATCTCCTTGTTTGAGTAACTGGGAACAAACTACCCTTCCAGTGATACCAGGTTTGTGTTCACCTATGGCAGAAAAGGAGATAAGACTAACCCCTCCCTCCCAAACTTGCTTGGGTAAATGGCTTCAGAAGGAAAATGAGTGTGCTCAGCTCCACTCTTCAATATGTGTTGTGGAGGATGAAGTCCCTTCAGCAAGGGAATAGGCAACACAGCCTCTTTGGGGCACTGACACATTGGCAAAGAACCCTTGTGTGCATTTCTTGCAAAAAAAGTAAGATGTCAATCGGTGTTTAGAGCCCCAGGTGTGCTGCACCACCCTTAAAACAATCTGATGCACATAAATTTATTTTACATGTTTCTAATGCAGTTAAGCTGCTTACTCACAATTTCTGTGCAGAATTCTCCATGAAAGAAAAAATTAGCAATGTTTGGCAAGATTATCAGCATCATGAGGTTTTTGAAGCAAGAGTTTAGTCATTAAGAGTTTATGGAGACCCTAACTTCATTTCAGCAAGCAAAATCTGATGATTCTGTTTCTCTGACATGGCTGCCTGGCACCCATGCTTTCAATACTAAGATAATCAGGACAATAAGGACATCTAAGATGAGATCTTCACTGAATATCAAGGGAAGTCACCTGCTCCATGGGAAGTCATTAGAAAAATACATTTTTGCCACTACTATTTTGAAAGTATTGGTCAGGGCCCAAATCCTAGATGCAAAAGTCCATGTGTCAGTGCTAAAGAGCAGTCTGAAGTCTTTTGTTAAATCTTACTGCTTGGCAGTCTGTGCATTTCTGAAAGAGTCCTTTGCAGCTTATGGAAAGGATGGGTTTTTAAACAGAAAAATCTTATAAATAAGATAAAAGAAATGTGTTTATCATCTCCAAGCTAAGAGATATCATTAAAAATGTCAGTATAATGGGTATAATGGCTGACTGAAGAAAAGTATTTCCATTTCAGCCATAAGAAAACAACGTAGAAGAATCACGTGGAAATTTAGAAACTAATTCCAGAATTTAAAAGATCAATACAGATTTTCTGCAGACTGAGACATCTGATAAAAATTACATTAGAGAAATTAATTCTTGTTAAAATAGATGTGATCTCTATCACATCTTCAGTTGTTTTTGCTTAAGTCAAAACATGCCTTTTCTAAAAGTTTCTAGTCTTAACCTGAGTTTCCATCATACTGCTAAATATTTTTTCTCCCAATTGATTGCTTGCAGTATATGCTGTAGTTCTGGTCTAAAATTTTCTTCAGCTTCTACCATTAGTTAGTCTAGACTTTTGTTTTTGAATGTTCTGTATAGGGGTTTGCACTTGCTTCAGATCACCTCTTCACCTTCTTTTGAAAAGAATGAAGTAGAACAATCTTCTTATGTTTCTCGCCATGTGGCAGATTTTTCAGAGTTCAAATTGTTCCTGTTCGCAAAACATTCTGCCCTTTGTTGCATCCACTTTAAAATAATTCTGTACACAAGAATTAAACTAGTTTTCTGTTTCTGTTGAGTCTTCCCTTCTTTGCACCCAGTGTATTTCATATTCAGCTGAATATCTGTAGTTCCCAAGTCTCTCCTGGAGACATTGCTTTCCAAGTATGTAATTCCCAATTCATAAAAATGTATCTTGAATGTTTGACTTCACATTTACTTGAAAAAATATATCTTTCTGTCTGACCTCTGCAAGTTGAGGTTTTTTGGCTTAGACTCTTATGCATCAAAGAAATAAAAAGGATAACCAACAGTGGTAGTACAGAACTAAACAGAAACACCATCAGTTTCTTTACTTATAAATATCTTCTACTCCAATAGATGGATCCAGTAGCCAGTTTCTATTTCCCTCCACTGCAAGCCACATCAGTTTTGTGGTGTCTTTAGGAAAGCATCCACATGAGCCTGCTCACCCATGTGTCGGTCTCTCTGAGCTCGTGAGACGAGGATGCCCAGCACCTCAGCTACCCTACACTTAGAGCAGCTGACATAGTGCACTTGGCAGAAAGCATTTTACCTACTCTCTTGTTATTTCTGCACTGCAGTAAGTGATTTATCAAATAAGAAATTGTAACCTAAGGATTTTCTGTGCTCAGAGTTTAAAGAAAAGGTTTTCTTCTAGACGAAAGGGGGTCAGATCTCTTTCTTAAAAAGTGGTGCTAAAGGACAACCTGAAGAAAGTGTGTGTGTTCACCCTCTCATCTGGTTTCTAAATTTGTAGCAAACTAAGAAGCCTGGACATGCCAGAGGGACTTGGCACAATTTCTGTGCAGTATAGACAATACCTCATTAATGATAGTGGTGCTGCTACTATTGCTATTAAATTACAAGTGACTTTTTCTTATTGGTGGCTTTAAGTTTGTCATCAAAGCAAAATATTTTAGAACAGCATTTAAAATGCCTATTCAACTGCTGAGTGTTGAGCACATGTTAATACCATTTTCTCCAGATATGGTAGTTTATGATAAATGTTACCAGATTTTGTACTGTTCATGTAGTGTGCAACTAAGACAAATGGGCCCACTGAAAGGGTATTTCCTTTGGAGAACACAAGCTGCAGACCACCCGTAGGATACACAGAAATAATTAAGTGTCAGGATAAAAAGGTAGAGCAAAATATTAGTGACTCAGAATCCTAATGGATGAAAGACATTAAAAAACCAGCCTATGTGTATGTGTGTTTTGAAAAAGAAAACATGTGAAGGTCTCAAGAGCACTTAGGGGAAAGGAAAAAAATCTACCCCATAACATTATTGTACTGTTTAAAAATTTCTAAATATTTGTGTGCTGTGTTTTTACTTGTGACAAGCAGCAGAGGTGTGTGAAATTATGCAGAACAGTGAGTACCTGAGTTCATACCAGCCTCTTTCTAGAATAAAAAAAAAGTCATAGAGAGTTTTTCAAAAATTATATTGCTGTAAGAAAAAAAACTCAACTAGCTTTGTGATTGAAAATATTGCTTGCAAAAATTGCAGACCCTGCTGTTCTGATGGAGGAAGCTCTAAGAACAATTTGAGTAACTTTCAGGGCAGAGAGAGGCTAGAATGTAGTTATGACAGGTCTTCTGCAACATTTTCAGTCTACAGAGAGAACAAAATTGCATTTATATCCTATCTGAATCATAGTGAAAAACACAGATATTTTTTGGGCACCCAATTTCCTCAGAAGTATTTTCTGGCACAGCTTCTGCCTTGTCTGTTTGGATGCAATATAGGCAAGTAGCAAAGGTTGTGGCTCAGCCACCACAATCTCTTTAGCACAATATAAAGGTTTACTTAACTTGAAAGTATAAAGTATTGAAGCATTAGGTATTAAATTAGCAAGCAGGAGGAATGTATTATTTTTAAGTTTTTTTGTATTAGTGGATAAATATAACCTTTCTCTATAAAACTGGGTTTGAATTTTAGACCCAGCTCTACAGTCAGCTCCCTGGTGGTCATTTAAGCCACCATCCCTCCCAGGTGCTGTGATGGAATCGAACAAGTGCTCCTCTCCCACGCAGACATTGCAGTTGCACACTGAGAAGAAATTAATATTTTTTTAAATTTTATTGTTGAGGGGAAGGAAGTGAAAGAGAGAAAATCTCTCAGAACAGTCAATCTTTTGGCTGAAAAAGCCAAAGTTCAGACATCTCCTCTACCTCGTTCAGATTGCAGGTACAAACTATAAGCCCGAGTGCATAATAAACCTCCTCTGTAATGTTACCTGCTCCTTAAGGCCAGATTTTGTCAATGGATTTGTGAGATTAGAGCCCTGCATCTGCAAAAGGCATATTAACTTCAGTTTGAAGTGTTTAAAGGAATTCCTGCTGCTTGATCTTTGTGCTGGTTTTTTGTATAGGAGCAAGTTCCTTGTGCAGTATGGAATGCAAATGTATAAGATGTATATTTTTCCTTCAGTGCTGCCAAAACCTGTTTTTATTCATACTGTCACTAAAATAATTTTTAACAAGGAGATATGAGAAAAGTCAAAGGCATTGGGGCAATCATCTGAAAAGTAAATCACCTTTGCTTACTCCCACAGTATATTGTAGTAGCTTACTAACTTTATGAAAATAGTTACCCTGTAATCCAAAGTATGTATCATGGAAAATACCTGGTAAAATAGAATATAGCATACTAGAAAAAAAAGCATTAAAAAACCCCAAACAAACCACACCCCCTCCAAAAAAAAAAAAAAAAAAAAAAAAAAAAAAAAGGCAAAACTTAGCAAGCTGTTGGTTCTTTTCTGAAAACCTTCTGAAATTCTTCCTTCATCTCTAAATTCTGCTTTCCAGATGACTTTAAGCAACTATTACTTTACAGCACATCAGAAATTATATGAAGAAAGTATACTTCCAAACTGATTCATTTAATCTGATTAAACGGAGAGCCATGTCAAGAAGGTAGCCTTTTTATATAAAGAAAATGATGATAATAGACTAAGTCTCATCAGTCAAGAGACTTTATTACTGTCTACTGTAGAAAAACTATTTTGTTGTTGCTGAATAATACATTCCTAGCTAGTCACAATATACCTCATTTCCTGCTTAGATAACAGAAGATATTAAGAAAAAGTGTGAAAGGAATAAGGAGCTGTGTGATATAGATATATGGAAGAATAAAAAACGTTAAAAAGTGAAAATTAAGTTCTGCATAAAAACTTGCATTTGAGCTAAGTTTCAAAAGAGAAAACAAAGATTCCCAAGTTTCTGTTCGCTTACTTTGAATAGAACAGACTTGCTAATAAATCCAGGACCAAATAGGACAGAAGAAAAGACTGTTTACAGACTAAAATGTGCTAAGACGTTCACAGCACCTGGCACAGCTTAAAACTAAATTGTGTTATCTTACTGTAGGTTCAGAAAACTCTCTTGAACAGAAGCTGAGAACACCTCGTCGACGATGTCAGCAGCCCAAAATGCTGAATAGCCCTGAGGATAACATGTACTATAACCAGTTAAATGTGAGTTCAAAGTGGCAATAAAGCTGTTTTACTGGCTTTGTTTCCAGTTAATAATTCTGTTATTAATACCTGTTTCAGCCCCTCCAGCCCCACCCCCACGTTCTTCTGCTCTCGTCTTGAACATGTGCTTATGCTCTTTATCTGTTGCTTTCATGTCAGGATGTCTGCCTTCACGGTGAATAATTGATGTGGTTTATCAAAGACGAGCAAGATGCATGCTTCATCAGGCTCACTTGAGCCCTTTGATCAAAAAAATTATGCTGTGACTTCTGATATTATCAGCATCTGCTTGCATTCAACACAAAATCACTTTGAATTAAAAATTAACGACTTGCTGCTTTGCTTTGACTGTATGTTCTTGGCCCTCTCCACAGGGAACTCTAGAATATCAAGGGAGCAAGAGGAAGCCAAGAAAACTTGGGTAAATATCTATCTTCTTAGTTCTAAGCAACTGTAAACAGAAGAAGTCCTTTGTGATATTACAGAATATGCAAAACTTTCTAGAGAGGTTTCTAAAAATAAACAATTAACATATTTCTGTGCATTGACATTGGACATTTTCTGCAGAAGCAAATGTAAAACTTGCATGTACTGCTGTCTGCAGACACTAGAACTGATTCTTAAAAAATATGCTTCCCAGCTCTCTCTGTGTGCTATTACTACCAAAAAATAGCATTGTTCATATTTTGAAGTGTGTTTCACACTGGTGGAAGGTGCCAGATGAAGGGTGTTAGAACTGGAGGCCTGTGACCCAGAACAGTGCCAGAAGCCCTGCCAGCCCCACAGCAGCACACTCGCAGTGGGCCTCTTGTCTTCCTGGGGGAGCACATGTGAGGAGCTGACAGAGAGGCGACTCTGCACAAAAGGAGTTTCTCCTTCTCTGTTAACTGAGTCATTTCTCATTGCTACATGAGCAGGTACCTCCTGGTATAGGTAGAATAAACTAGGCTGGCTCCTGTACAGTTGCCCAAATACTCACTTGCCTGATCACATGGATCGGAGAGAACTGATGGGTGCTTACAGACACATTTAGTCCAAAAATTTACCAGAACCTTCTGGATTTTTTTCTTTTGGTTTTTATTAATCTTCTGAATATAACTTTTTGAACAAGAGGTCTTTGAGTCAAGCTTAAAGTCCAAATTTTTGCAAGACTGTGCAAAATTTGGTTTATTTTCTCTCCCTCCCCTAGTTTAAAAAAGTTTGTATTCTGGGAATAAAAACACTAACATCAAGCTGCAGTGCTCATCATACATCACAGAAAAATGAAAGCCCCTTGCTGTCAATAGGGCTTTTCCCAAAAATTGATGCTGTAGTCCTTGGCTCATAGTGATAGCAAACCATCATCTGAAATACGATACCAAAATCATATCCTACTTGTGGAACATGCACAGACAAGAAAAGCCACATTGCTCAAATTAAATGCTCATTTAGTGCAAATAGTTGTTCTATCATTCTATACTCCCAAACTGAAAGATGATACTGCATTTCCCTGATCCTCAGAACCATTCGCAATATAAAAGATATGTAAAAATATATGTAATAGCAGTTGGAATATGTATAAAAGCTGTATCTTTCTCATCAAATCATCCCTTTTCTTTTTCCATTCTTATAGTGGGGCTTTTCATTTTTACATCCACAGAGTAGTTGCTATTTCTGAAGATATTGACAGTGTTTAACTTAAGAAGTGTTGTTTGTTTATTTTCAAGCCAAATCAAAGTACTGGATGGAGAGGATGAGTATTATGAATCATTGTCAGCTGTTGAATCTACCCCTGAAGATGACAGTTTTCTCAGCTCTCCATCTCCTCCTACAAGAGATGTGTCTTTTGCTCAAAGCTGAACCTCACTTAGTCTATTGACTAATACTGGTAAGAGTATTTTCCTGCTGATAAGCTCTTCCAGTTAACTTTGTTTATGTGTGTTCCTATAATATATTAAAAATACCATGTTAGCTAGTTACTTTAGTTCACTGATTTAGATCTAGGTTTTCAGCTGTACACTGTCACATTTAGCTGTATTTCTATAAACAATTGCAGTAAAGGGGAGCAACACTACCTGTATGTGTTGATGTTGATAATGGACATATTCCTTTAGCAGCAAGGTTAGTTTATACAATTCTGACCCCTTCTTTCCTGCCTCCCCCTCCCCTGGCTGCTGTTCCCACCCTGTGCCATCCCTTCTGTTGTGCTGGCACAACTGCTGGTAGAGCTGTGTGAAAAGTAAGATCAAGGAACTGAACTAGATTAAAAGAACACTGTACTAAAAATTTTAATTTGGGGTCATAGTGAAAATGTTTTGTATTTCATTAGACTGATATTAAACACTGTCCTTTATAAATCTCTCTGCTGTGTATGGCTTTTAACACTAGAAAAATGTACAGAGTAAAATAATGTAAAATATAATTGTGTCTCAGTTTACCTTACAAATAGTTTTCTTCTAAAGTATTTCTTAACCATAAGTCTAACTCAAGGAATTATTTTAAATATAAGAAGTAAAACAGTTTTAAGGCTAATGTTTCACACACTGCTGCATTTAGTCCTTGTGACTGAAATCATGATTATGACTAGTTATTCTTGTTATCCATGCAAATATTTCATTTGTTCCTTAAGCTATATGTCTACGCTCCGATGACTCCTACATTTCCACAGCCCTCTTGTAAGTAGCAAGGGGGAAAAAGTCACCTGCAAATTTTTCTTCTTGCTTTTCACTTTCTTTGAAAATCCTTAATGATAACTTTCTACAGAATATTGAGATTCTTTGACAGTTACTGTTTCCATGGCAGAAGCCAACAGTTTCACCTTACTGTTCTATTTCTGGTGCAGAAACACCATTTTGACCTGTGACCATTCTTTGCTTCTTTTCCAGACATGCTCTTGTCAAAAAGTTTTGGAAATAAAATGTTCACATTTACTGCCTTACACATTTGCCCAAAATTATTCCTTTTTTTCTTTTTTGGCAAACCATACTGATTAAATCTGACCATGTATTTTACAGACCTAGTTATCATCCTTGTTTTTATCTCTGCTGCAATGAGTTTACCCGTGCTAATAGATCTTCCTGTTGGAGATGCACCTCACAGCTGTTCCTTAAGCTACATAATTTCTTACTATCAGTGTTCACTGGCATCATCTTTTTGACTACAGGACAAGGAAAGGTGGCATGAGAAATGAGACCCGTGCAGTCACGATATCCTTAGGCTAGAATGGGGTTCCAAAGAAGAAAAGGTAATGAAATAGTTCCACAAAAGCTTTGTTTCTCCTAACAAACACAGAAATTAAGTTAGGCAGGGCAGATGAGGATGGGCAAAGGATTCCAGGAAGAGTAATTCTTCAGTCATTCTTCACCCAAAATACGAGAGAAGGTTGAAGCTGGAAATTATAATCCTGACAGACACTGATTTCTTTCAGTTCACTCCTCATTCTCCTCTGATGTACATCGAGGTAGGTGTACTTTAAAGGCACTTAAGAGCTTTTGAAATTTAGGGACTCCTTAAACAACAGAGAATTGGTGAATGGCTGCAGATGAATTAATGGCATTAAAATGTGCAGCGCAAATAGAAATGGCAACTAATATGAATGCATGTGTATAGATCAGTTTCTTTAGATTTTGTCAAAATGTAGCAAAAATTAGTATGTTGTGGTAACTCATCAAAAATTATGTCACTTTTCCTATGCAATAAGTAAATTCTCAGTTAATTTGTAACATCTGGATGGAAAATAAGATTCTTTTTAAACAGTCAGATTACTTGCTGTATTCTTCCATGGCGTAGATCACAGAGAGTTCTAGCAATATTGATGCCTTCTCATTCTATCCTTCCTTTTTGAAAACTATTAAGCAAAATAAAGCTTTATTATTACTGCAGTTCACATCATTATACATAGTTAAGAGTTCATCAGTTATTTTAATTAAATGACAGTAATGTTTCCAGGTATTATGTCACCTGCCTAAAACCAACGGTTTACCTTACACTGAGTAATACATTACTCTGAGTAGTAAAGTTCATCAAGAAGTAAGGGAAAGTGAAAAATAATATATAATTCAGTGAAGCACTTAATCCAAAGCTGAAGTCCCACTGAAATAAATGAAATTTTGGCATGTGATTAAGTGCTTTGCTGAATGGGGGCTTGAGTTAACAAGAGCAGCATTAGAACATTAAAGAATGAAGTACAGGCAAAATGCAGAAACTCTCCAAGTACATCCCTTAGGTTTCTTCCTTTCTTCTCTTCCAGTTATCAAGCTCGTATCAATCTCAGCCATCAGAAATGGACTTCAAAGACATTTTAAGCAGTCTTTAATTGCATGGAAAGGGTATAATACAGTATTTTCCTTGTTACATACAATGCCACTATCTACATCTGCTGTACTTTTTCATATTAGTTAATGTCAGTAATACTTTAATACTGAATTTACTGCCTAAAAGCTGCTGTTGAGTAGTATATTTTCGTTCTTGTTGCTTCTTAGCTAAACACTGTGCATTAAGTCAGTCTGGGTATTTTACTCTTTCCTAACTTACCCCCTTTCCTCATTTGTTTGTGCTTCATCCTCAGCAGATGACCCTTTGAGGTGGTCTTCTCTGATCCTGATTTTAGAGCACATGTATACCTTTTGATTATTAAAAGCCTTGCTGTAGAGCCAGGCAGTCTCACTAAGAATGACCAAAGAGCTGAACTTCTGTTATCATATTGATACAAGTGTGTGTTTGAGTTGATTGATTTGTGTGTGAAACAGGAGATATGTCAGTGTGATGATCCTGGTCAGTGGAAGCATATCAACAAGAATTGCTTGGGTTTTCTTATTTGGCTTTCACAACATTGATGCATTGTTCTGATTTATTTTCTTTCATGTATATTATCCTGAAATATTAATGTCTTTTGCTTAATAGTTCATAACATATCCTGTTCTTAATATTTTATAAAAGTAAAGAGTTTAAATCCTGATAGGAAGAAGAAAATTTCTTAGACAGTGTGTAATATATTAAACAGTTTTCAGCTGATGGGAGAGAAAATTATGAAGCTCAACAAGGGATTTTAGTAGATTTCTTCTGTAGACCTTAATGGCACTAGAAACTGGTTCTTGCTAAAGACAATTTCTGCCTTTCAGTTATGGCAGCTTAAAAACTTGTCTCTGTGCCAAAAAAAAAAAAAAATCGGGCAGGGAGCTTTTGGAGATTAGCCCCTTTCATTTGGTAATTTTAAATGTGCTTCTGACTTAAACATTTACATCACTTTAGTAACATAAAGGGACCTTAGAATAGGAGTAAATTGCAACCATCTTAAATTTGCCCTCAACGTGACCTCCCTCACCCATACACTGTAAGAGTTGTGGAAAGGTCTTTTGTGCGTTGAAGGTCTTTTAAGTGGCCCCTATCAGACTATCCAAGGACTTGTTGTTGCTTAGAACCTTATGAAATGTGGCTATAAATGATGTGAAACTGGGTGCTGCTATCTGTTTTACACCATATAAAAATTGATGCGAAAATGGGATTTAAGTCCCAATTTTAAAATTTCATCTTTTAAAAAGTTATAATTGAATGTTTATACCTTTCTGTTCTAATATTTGCAATTATAAAGGAATATTGCTTGTTTGTTGTAAAATAGCTAGCAATGAGATAAATAACTCAAGTCTGCCATACTCTTATTTCTCATTCCTTTTTTCATTGCCTCCAAACAGAAGGAGAATTTGGAGAGACAGCCATACTGTGGCATTTTTAAATGTCTTCAGGTTAACCAGATAAATATAGTGCATACAATTGAAAAATCAAGCCATATGGCGCAAAAGTATCCTCCTATGAGAAATGGGTAAATGGTTTCAGTACCGATATATGCATGAGATGTGGCACATACTAAATTTACCCATCCTGCTTTTAACTCTGACAACAAAATGTGAGAAGTAATGTCAGTTTTGTTGTTAACACCAGAAATACATTTCGATAACACACCTTGTCTTTAACAGTACCCACCCTAGGAGGAGTTGTAGCAGAATGCATTCTTAACAGAAACTGTTTCTGCTTGACAACAAAGCAGTTCTCCCAAACTGACAAAAGTAGCACAGGATGCTGTGAAAAACCAAAGGCTAGGGAACAGCCCTCTGGGTCAGAGCTAAAGATTACAGAACTCATTGAGAGGCTTTGTGTCTCATTTGTGATGGGCGCTGGAACAGATAAAGGAGAACGTTGACAATTCATAATAATAGAGCCTGTGTCTTTAAATATGCAGGCTGATGCCCAACTCATCTTAATAGATTTGTCAAGAGTTTTTGGATATTATTTTATTATGTCTATAAATCCAAGGTCAGCCAGAACAGTAAATATATACATTTTGTAATCATGGAACTGTTTATTGTAGTACTTACGCTGTGATGCTAAAAGATGTAGAAGCAGATAAGTGAAAAGCATATCTTGGAGTGATGTTTCCAGAAACTAAATTACAGATTATTGATCGGGCCAGTAATAGATAATTTCCTTGCTTTTGTTTGGCAGGTTTATTTTTTACTTAAATTGCAGAGAGATACTATTTTTTCAATAGTTTAAGTAGGATTTTATAATATAGTTGGCAAATGGAGATGGCAAGTAGGTAGATCAACAGGTGTGCTTTTTTCTGCAAAAGATCCAAGCCTCAATTTCTAACCCATTACCAGTGAAAATCTCATCTCAATCTCTAAGTGAAGTAATGTCACCACAATAAAAACTGGATGTCATCCACTGGGCGGGAGTTCAGTGCTGGGAGGCAGGCCGGCCTGCCACATGCGTTTCCAGAAATTGTTGTGCTACTGATCACGGCAAGTCTCTGACAAAGACCTAGCTAAAATTGGAATAGGAGAACTGGGGGTCCCACACTGTCT